CCCTATAACTGCTTTACAACAGTGGTTCTCAGCTGTGGCTGAACATTAGAAACATGTGGATGTGTAAAAACAGTCCCATGGGCCAGGCCACACCTTGTGACCAATCAAATCAAAATCTCTGGATTAGGGCCCAAGTGTCAATATTTGTTAAAAGCTCCCCAGGGATTCCAAAGTCTGGCCCAGGTCAAGAACCCCGGACTCACAGGTTTAATTTGTACCACTGAAAGCACTTCCTGCATCCACAGGCCCACATCATAATGGGGTGGGTGGAAGTGGCTTGGTCTTCCACAGACTTAAACTGTAATCCAGAATTCATTTGGAGTTTCCAGAATTTCCAAAATTAAATTGGGATCTCAGTTAAAAAAAAAAAACACTTTTAAGGCAGAGAAAGAAGATGTCTGTGCCAGGATTTTTAGGAGAATGAAAAGATAGTTTCCTATGTTGATTTTTATTGTGTTTTTGTTTGGGTTCCAAAGGGAGGTAGTCAGAACTGGATAACTTTAAAGCTTATTTAGCTCCCAGTGTGTGTGGCTTTTGCTAATACAGCCGGCTGTCAAAACAGGTGAGACGAAGGAGGACCATTATCTGAGCCTCCCTGGCACCATAATTACTCCATGTTTGAGTTTAAACACCTGAATCTTGGCTGTTACATAATTGTAATAATAATAATAACATGTCACCCAGACAGTGGGGCTTTCTGCCATATTTTTGTCTCATTTTTCAAGGAGTGTCTAAAAGGACAAAGACTTTTTCTTTGGGAGAGACTTGCAGAAAAGATTAATTTTGGGGTCTGCCACTGCATTTAGGCATCAGTCTGTCACTGGGTTGTGAGGAACTCATCCACCATTCCATTATTTTTCCCTCTTTCTTCAAGGAGAGTTGCTACCGAGGCTCTCAGTGAGGTCTTTTAGACAGAAATAACTCTGTCCCTTCCTCAGCAAAGAGTATTATTGTATTGAGCTATGTTGCATTCTAGCCCATGGGACAGGAAGGATGGCAGGGTCAAAACATTGCCCCCAAGGAAAGGGTTAGGCTCTACCCATGGCCTTATGCCATTTTCCTCACCGGGTGACTCCAAGACTGATTCTAGCCTCGCTGAGGAGGCAACAACCAAATGATTTCACTCATATGTGGAATATAAGAACAAAGGAAAACTGAAGGAACAAAACAGCAGCAGAACCCACGAATGGACTAACAGTTACCAAAGGGAAAGGGACTGGGGAGGATGGCTGGGAAGGGAGGGATATGGGAGGGAAAAAGAAAGGGGGCATTACAATTAGCATGTATAATGTGGTGGGGTACGGAGCGGGCTCTACAACACAGAGAAGACAAGTAGTGGTTTTACAGCATCTTACTACGTTGATAGACAGTGACTGTGAAGGGGTATGTAGGGGCGACTTGGTGAAGGGGGAAGCCTAGTAAACATAATGTTCTTCATCTAATTGTAGATTAATGATACAAAAAAAAACTCACAAAAGAACAAAGTCAAAGGACCAACACTTCCCAATTTCAAAAGTTACTGCCACTTGCAATGGCCCCAAAGACATGAAATACTGCCTATCTTAAAAAGCTCAAATTTTAGTGCATATGAATGATATCTCAATAAAATGGGGGAATTTTCCTGTTGTAAACTAGATCTCAGTATTTTTTAAGCATGACATCCGTTTCTCATTTTATAAAATAGAATCTAGAACCATGTCTGGCCCATACTAGATGTTTCATAAATACTTGCTGAGTGGATGCAGTCATTATGAGAACTGACTTTTCACTGTGGCAGTGGCTATTGTTTTCCTTTGCTCAACGTCCCGCACCCCTCCCAGTAGTATAATCATCCGGCCAGTCACCAGCACAGAATGCAAATCTGGACAGTCTTTCCTTGGGAATGTTTCCAACTGAAACTGGTGATAAAGGTACGTTTTTCCTTTCTGGCCTAGAATGGGTGCCAGAGTGGCCTGAAAGATTGCCTCTGCGGAGTGGAGAAGTTAGTCCGGGGCCTGAAGCTGACGTGAGAAGCAGAAACAGAAATGGGAGAACAAGAGGGGCTGAATCCTCGGCCCCGCCGCCCTGAGGCCACATCCGGCCTTCCGTTTCCTAGATTTGCTTACATGAGTCAGCAAATATCCCCCTTTTTGAATCAACTAGTTTCTATCACCTGCTACCAAAGATTTTGAAAACCAGTCGTAACAATGACAGCAACATATATATTTTATAGATTACATATATACATATAATAATAGCCAATAGTTAACTAATGCTCACGCCCCAGCCAGGCACATTTTACTTACCTCGGTGAATCCTCACCACATCCCAATGAGTATGAGTTAGGTCTCCTTTCATCCAAATTTCACAGAGGAAACCTGGAAAGGTCAAGCAGTTTGTCCAAGGTCTCACAGCGGGCAGTGTGGGCAACTGGTATGCACATGGCAGGATACCATGTCTTTTCTGGATGTGAGGCTCTTTCAGGGGAAAGCTCTAAACCCTATAACTGCTTTACAACAGTGGTTCTCAGCTGTGGCTGAACATTAGAAACATGTGGATGTGTAAAAACAGTCCCATGGGCCAGGCCACACCTTGTGACCAATCAAATCAAAATCTCTGGATTAGGGCCCAAGTGTCAATATTTGTTAAAAGCTCCCCAGGGATTCCAAAGTCTGGCCCAGGTCAAGAACCCCGGACTCACAGGTTTAATTTGTACCACTGAAAGCACTTCCTGCATCCACAGGCCCACATCATAATGGGGTGGGTGGAAGTGGCTTGGTCTTCCACAGACTTAAACTGTAATCCAGAATTCATTTGGAGTTTCCAGAATTTCCAAAATTAAATTGGGATCTCAGTTAAAAAAAAAAAAACACTTTTAAGGCAGAGAAAGAAGATGTCTGTGCCAGGATTTTTAGGAGAATGAAAAGATAGTTTCCTATGTTGATTTTTATTGTGTTTTTGTTTGGGTTCCAAAGGGAGGTAGTCAGAACTGGATAACTTTAAAGCTTATTTAGCTCCCAGTGTGTGTGGCTTTTGCTAATACAGCCGGCTGTCAAAACAGGTGAGACGAAGGAGGACCATTATCTGAGCCTCCCTGGCACCATAATTACTCCATGTTTGAGTTTAAACACCTGAATCTTGGCTGTTACATAATTGTAATAATAATAATAACATGTCACCCAGACAGTGGGGCTTTCTGCCATATTTTTGTCTCATTTTTCAAGGAGTGTCTAAAAGGACAAAGACTTTTTCTTTGGGAGAGACTTGCAGAAAAGATTAATTTTGGGGTCTGCCACTGCATTTAGGCATCAGTCTGTCACTGGGTTGTGAGGAACTCATCCACCATTCCATTATTTTTCCCTCTTTCTTCAAGGAGAGTTGCTACCGAGGCTCTCAGTGAGGTCTTTTAGACAGAAATAACTCTGTCCCTTCCTCAGCAAAGAGTATTATTGTATTGAGCTATGTTGCATTCTAGCCCATGGGACAGGAAGGATGGCAGGGTCAAAACATTGCCCCCAAGGAAAGGGTTAGGCTCTACCCATGGCCTTATGCCATTTTCCTCACCGGGTGACTCCAAGACTGATTCTAGCCTCGCTGAGGAGGCAACCGTATCCTCAGACCGCTCTCTGTAAAAGTCTTTTGTCACGTTAAATCTGTGTGCACTGGTGGGTGGGTAGAGCCAGCTGGCATGGGGATTAAAAAGATGACATTTGGACCCAGGCAGGTGTAGTTCTGTATTAGTCAGCTCCAACCGCCATGATAAAATACCAGGACCTGTGTGGCCTTGACAACAGGAAGTCATTTTTCTCACAGGGCTAGAGGCTGGAAGTCCAAGATGAAGGAGGCAGAAATGTGGTTCCTGGCCACTCTTCTCTTTTTGGCTGGCAGATGACCACTGTCTCCCTGTGTCCTCACATCACGGAGATGGAGAAATCTCTAGTGTCTCTCCCTCTTCTTGTAAGGACACCAGTCCTATCAGATCAGAGCCCCGCCCTTATGAGCTCATTTAGCAGGTAAGCCTCCTTACCTGAGAAGTGTAAGAGTCCAGTCACACTGGGGGTTAGGGCTTCACCATATGAATTTGGGGGAAGGGATACAATTTAGGTCCAAACAGCTTCCATCCCAGCCCCACCACAGACTTGTCTGTGTGACTCTGGGAAAGTGAATCAACCTCTCTGGGCTTCATTTTGTTCATCTTGTCAAATGGAGATAATAGTACTAATTCCTAGGATAGTTTTGATGATTGAATATGATACTTGTAAGGGATGAGCACAGAGCCTCCCACATAGTAAGCACTCAAAAAGGCTCCATTTTTATTTAATCTGGCAACTGAAGCTCAAGTAACCCCAGACTCTGTAAAGCAGTGAGGTGAATGAACCAGGTTACGTTTAGAGAGCCACATCTTTCCTCTTGCCCCGGCCCCACTACCAGACCCCCACAGAACCCAGCCTTTCTTCTCCAGCACCTCCTCCATCAGAGCTTATATTTGCCTCTAGGCATCATTGGCTCTGGTGTCAGTGAGATCTGGGTTCAAACCCAGGCTCCGCCACTCATGAGCAGCATGACATTATACAAGGCACTTATCTTCCTTGTCTTAGTCAGCTTGGGCTGCCGTAACACAATGCCACACACTAGGAGGCTTAAACCACAGGCATTTTCTTCTCAGGGTTCTGGAACCTGGGAAGTGCCAAGAGCAAGGTGCCAGCCCATTGGGATCCTGTTGAGAGCCTTGTCCTGGCTTGCAGACAACCATCTTCCCTCTGTATCTTTAGATGATGGGGAGAAATGTGCTCTGGCCTCTTCCTCTTCTTACAAAGACACTAACCCTGTCATGGAGGCTCTTCCCTCATGAGCCCAGCTAACCCTACTGGCCTCCCCAGGGCCCCACATCCAAACACCATCATGCGGGAGGTCAGGGCTTCAACAGGTGAACTGTGGGTGGGACACAAACATCCAATCCCAAACCCTCTCTGAGCCTGTATTCCTCAGGACTCCTTCCACTGCAAGTGACAGAAAACCCAGGTCAGCACTGGATCAAGCACAGAAGTAACTTGGCTGATTCACAAAGTGAAGTCCACGAACGTTTTGGCTTGAGGCATGCCTGGCCTCAGAGACTCAAGTGGTAACAAGTAGAACCATTCCCTCATTTCCTGCCTGTCTCTCCTTAGTGTTGGTTTCATTCCCAGAGAAGCTGGGGTAACCCATCTCCCCTAGGCTCACATTCTACAGCCTGAGCCACCCAAGTCAAGAAAAAAGCATGTTCCCTAAATCCCCAACAGAAATCCCATGTCTGGCCTCATCCCCCATCCCTGAGTCAATCACAAGGGCCAGTGAGGTAGAATGGCCAGACTGGCCAGCCCACAGGTGCAAGGAACCAAGAGAGGGTCAACTCTACCTGAGCTGCATGCTGCTAACAAAAGAAAGTGGAAATGTTGGATAAGACAAGATAGCAGATGCCCACTACAGAGCCCCACTTTCTTAGTCTATGAAATGGGAAAATGGTACCAAACCTGGAGGACTGTTGTGAGAACAGAATTAAATAATATATGTTAATATAGCACTGCATGATGCTAACAGCACCAGCCAGAACCTAATAAATTATTTATTGTACACACACACATACACCTGTATTCCAACTTCCTAATTCCAGAAGGACCTGCCCTTGACATTCTTGCTTCCCCCTACTGTGGCAATCATACATCTACTGTCACAGTAGAAATTATCAGTAGAAACATTGTTTAGGAACGCTGGCCCTCCTGGGGCAAGATGTTCAGTAATGAGACCTCAGCAAGGATGCGTAACTCTTTCAAAGGGACATCTCCAGAGTCTTCTCAGGGGGAAGACCAATGCCCCCTAAGAGCTTTGGATGAGGAAACCACTAAGGTCTCAAGAATTCGGAATACAAATGGACCAGGGAAGGCTTTTATCTTAAACACCAACTAATATCTCAGTTATCATTTAGCGCAGCAGCAGAGATGATCTGAAACGGGCCTTGGTAGGGACCGCAGGGAGAATGGAAAAGAAGGCATAGAAGAGGACAGCAGAGAAGGAGAGGGGGCCTGATTTCTTTTAATTGTTCCTGGGGCATGGTTTCCACACACTTCCTTCCCCAAGCTGGACCGATGAGCCGAGCTGCAGTTAAGAGAACACGCCCTGTGCCAGGCTCTGTGCTAGGCACTCAAGAGCATGGCTTTACTTAACCCAGCTTCCACTGTACCCTGGCTGCATGGCCTTGGGCAAGTTACCAGCAGCTCAAGGAAACCCCCTTTTCTTTTTTTCAGCTAAAACATCTAACAATAAGGGGCTAACATGTATTAAGTATTTACTATACACCAGGCATGTTTTTACATGTATTAATTCATTTAAGCTTCATAATACTCCTATGAACTACTATTATTATTTCTATTTTACTAATGAGAATACTGAGGTTCAGAGAGGTTACGTAACTTGCACAGGGTCACATAGCCAGGAACTGTCAGGGGCTAAATTTGAACCCAGGCAAAGTCCAAGCTCTTGGCCTCTATATTGCCTCTTGCACTGAGTTCATTCGCTGTCATTGCTATTTTTCTAGGCTCACAAGAAGATATTAATAGTGAAGGGATATTTTTATCATCAACATTATCATTATTAGAGGATTCAACACAGGTATTTTCATTTTGGAAAACAAAAATAATAAAATGAACTACCATGGGCTATCTATATTTGTATCACTTAGAGGTATTTAAAAGTAAGCAATAGAAACCTGTCTTAACACACTCAAGCAAGAACTAATATTTATTTAAAGGGTACTTGGAAGATTGTGGAAATGAAGGGGAGAGAGAAAGAGATGCAGGTGCAGATGTAGTTGTAGATTTAGATGCAGATGTAGGTATAGATACAGATGCAGATGTAGGTATAGATATAGATACAAATAGACATAGATGGACATGTTAATTAACCAGATAGGAGGCTCCTTTCCCTATGTATATGTATATGAAATCTTCACAATGTACACTTAAAATATCTTGCATTTTTATTTTTAAATTAAACCTCAATAAAGCAGAAAAAATTTTAATGAAGGGGAGCAGAAACTCATCAACAGCCTTATAAGTAAATGACTGCTTTGATCGCCTGTTACCCCTGTGTGTCTTGGAACAAGACTCAGATTCCCAGAAGAAAGAACTAAGATTGACCAGCATGGGACACAGACCCAGCTCTGAAGCCAGAAGCTGGAGTTCCATGATTGACAGATGCATCAGAGCCACACAACAAAGGCAAAGGGCAGTTGGTTCCCCAGAGGAAGTGATGCTGAGCAAACAGAAAAAACAATGGTAAATGTAGCCAACTCCCTTAGCACCAGGACTCCTAAGAATGAGAGAACCTCATGACAGGGGAAGTCCTCCTCTAAGCTTTAAGATCTATCATCGGAAGAGCTTCCAGACAGACACAAAAGGCTCAGATCACAGTGATAATGTTGCACCCAGTCAGGAGTGTGATGTGCCTCATACCCTGCTTGAGATGCAAGGCCACAGCTGGGCAAGGACCTTCAAAGTACTTAGCAG